GAAAAAAAGAAGGTGACGAAGGTGAAGAAGACAAAAAAAAGAAGAAGAAGAAGAAGGTGATGATGATAATGATGATGATGGTGATTACAATTGCTGTAAATGATTTTCCAACAATTACCATGTAGATGGGATTGTTTGTTAGGTTCCTGGTGTTGTCGGCGATGATGATGATTGTTGTTGGTGATGATGATGATGATCGTTGTTGTTGATAATGGTGATGTTTAATTGATTCAATAAATGAGTCATTATTTGCATAAAGTGTTTTATTACCAGCAAGTGCTGAATGCTGTTGTTCACATGTGTTTTTCATTTGCATGTTTGTGTGTGTGTATAGTGTCAGTGTGTGTGAGTATGTGTGTGTGTTTGTTTGAGTGTGTATATGTGTGCATGGTGTCTGTGTGTGTCGGTGTGTGTGTTTGTGTTTGTGTCTGTAATTTTTCTACATTTAATTTTGTATATTTATATATTTTTTATTTTACTGATTTTATAATAGTATATATTTTTTACGAATCTATCAAGTAATAATGATCGTTAACATATGTTAGATAGGATAACTTCATAATTGAATTAATAAACATTTTTGTGTGTGTCAAATATTCAAATATAAAAATCCGTTTCAAGAACGCATACTTTGATATAAATTTTTCAATGTATCAATGTTTTTGTTTCCATTTGGTATGCGTGTGAGGAAGTCTGCGAATGAGTGCGTGCGTACGTGCAGATATGTGTGCGTGCAGATGTGTGTGCGTGCAGATGTGTGTGAGTGCAGATGTGCGTGCGTGCAGATGTGTGTGCGTGCACATGTGCGTGCGTGCAGATGTGTGTGCGTGCAGATGTGTGTGTGCGTGCAGATGTGTGTGTGCGTGCAGATGTGCGTGCGTGCAGATGTGTGTGCGTGTGCGTGCAGATGCGTGTGCGTGCAGATGTGTGTGCTGCCCTGTTCGATGTTCGCGATGTTGGGTTAATTTTATCGGCAGTCAGATGACAGCACAGAGGTCCAATGAAGGCCGATCTGATTGTGATGGCGATCTCGATGGTCGTTCATTTGCTTTGATTTGTGCCTTTTTATTTATAACATTTAATTGTTTATTACTCTTTCACTCTCACTCGCTTTTTTCTCTTTCTCACCTCTCTCTCTCTCTCGTTCTCATTTCGTATCCCCCTGTTCTTTCAATGTTTTTTGACGTCGTTTCTTCCCCGTCTGTGTTATCACAACTACAAACGTTATAATATCTGTGCTTTTCGGTAGAGGTTCATATTTAAGATATCAAATGTTTCATTATAGGTTGATAATTAGTAGACAAATCTTTTAGTCATTTATCTTAGGGAATATGTTTAATTGTTTATTTTTTAAATTAATTAAAATTGTTAATTAATTGATGGCAACACGCAAACACCCCCCCAAACACACACACACACACATACACACTTGCACACACACGCACACAAGCAAACAAGATCACGTGCGTTTTTGAGTGCTTTCATTCTACCGTCCTTGCTTGACTTCTGCAACGTGTGCATTCCATGTTTCAATATTAGAATAACGTTGGGATGTTTGCGCTGGACTCGAGGATGAGTTTGCAATGTGCTTGTCCAAATGAAAGTTATGAAAGGCTGAAAAAACATCAAAATCCTTCCATAGAGATGTCAAAGGGCTTCACACTTCAAAGAAATTGTCCTTTTGTTTAAATTCAACCAACATGAATTGATTCGCTCTGAATTGTTTAGTCTAAGTTTTTCAGAATCCAAAAGTGAAGCTAAATAAGAAGTTTTGTAAGTTATAAAATTAATCATCTGCTGCTCGTTGGTCAAGATGATGAAACGTTTAAGTGAGGAAGTGAAATATTTTTTAGGTGTAACTGTAGATGTTTCATTTCAAGTTTGTCGAATTTAGTTTTCCATGAGACCAGATAAAGTTACAACATTATAACAAATTAGTTTTCATTAGTTTTGTGAATGTTATTGTTGTTGAGTTTATTTTTGTTGACATTTTTGCTGGGTTTTTTTTATTTAGAAAAATGTTGTCATGAAATACAGGCCGGTATGAAAATGTTTACGCATGAGTGCACACGAGTGAAGAAACACAAGAGAACCATGTTACGCACGAAAGCTTTCAATGAGAACACGACACTCCACTTTAAAACATACCGAAATATTTTCTTGTGCAAACACAACACTCCACTTTGGCACATACAACAACACTATCCAAACATACAACACAACACATTATCTTATATATGTATGTTCAATTATGAGAAAGCGACATTTGTGTTTGTGTGTGTGTGGTGTGTGAGTGAATGAATGAATGAGACTGAACAAACGAACAAACAGAAGAATGAAAAAATGAACGAACGAATGAACGAACGAATGAAAGAACGAATGAAAGAACGAACGAAAGAATGGATGAATGAATGAATTAATTAATGAATTAATGGATGAATGAATAAATTAATAATTAATGGATGAATGAATGAATGAATGAATTAATTGATTAATTACTCAAGGAAGATGTTAATAATTTTCGATGTAGACCATTTGAATGAAACAACGATTTTAAAATTCAGCCACCGATTGCATGTTGAATTGTTGCGCTGGAGGTAATTTCGAAATTAATGGACACATGATTTATAAACAATTAAACTTTCTAATACTTTAATCATACGTGTTTTCTTCAAAATGTAGGTTCTAGATAATCTTTCCAATTTATCTTTTTGACTTTCCATTGTATTTTTTTTAATTTTTGTGGATGACAAATTATGTTGACATAAATCTTGAATGGCATATTTTCAGTTAAAACTACGTTACGTTTAATGGTCTAAAGCAGGGTTGGGCAAACTTTTTGTTGTGAGGGCCTCATTGAGAACTATTTTACTTTTGAAAAACCGCAAAGGTACTTAAATAGCAATTGGCAAACAAGTGCTCGCGGGCCGCAAAAAATAGCTACACGGGCCGCATTTAGCCTGCGGGCCATATTTTGCCTAATCCTGATTTAAAGATATAAAATGAGTGATGAACATGTGAACATAGGAATCAACAAACAGGAAGCGAAAATGAATAGTGAACAAACAAACAAATGAACAAACAAATAAACAAAATACTAACAAACTAGGGAACAAAATAATAACAAACAAACAAACACAGCAATGCCTGCGCTCAATGTGATGAAATAGTTGAGTGTTTAGTTCACTGTTGTTGGAAAATAATATCCAACACAATTTAGTAAGGTGCTGCTCTGTATTTGATGGCAGGTTGTTTGTGCCTGTCTGTTATGAGTTGTTTTTGATGGTCGCAAATAAATAAAAATGATTCATTGATTTATATAGCCAGCATAATCATTTCACACTGTTCGATAGTCAAGGGGCAAAAATATTCAGAAAGCCTTGACTGAGTCATTTTGTTACCCAACAAAGCCGTAAAATATTAATTTGAAAAAAATTACACAATGAAATAATGTGAGCAAATGTGTTTGATGCATAGTGAAATCCTTTTTTTAATAAAATTGATGACGCTTTGAGGAAACTGTGAAAATTCCCATGAAGCAAATATGTTGTTAAACATGAAATTCTATAAATATATAAAAACTTGTTCAAAAAAAATTTCAAACAGGAACTTAATTGATAATCATTCCTTCGAAGAATGACAGAGTGAATTATAATAATAATAACAGGCAGATAATAATGAACGATCATGACTTGTATAGATGTTGCACTTTTATCTGACTGATTTTATTTCGAAAGTTTCATCTATTTGTCACTTCAGCACTTGCAACATCATCCGAAATTTGTTCGCACTCATACATCCATAAAGTCAATAAGAAGTCAGTCATCCATGCAATCAATCATTTATTCGATGTAATTCATCCGAACTTGGTTTTATTTGATTGCATTCTCGTTATTGGTTTGTTAATTTGTTTAGTCATTCTATCGTTCATTCATTCATCCATTCATTCATTCATTCATTCATTCATTCATTCATTCATTCATTCATTCATTCATTCATTCATTCATTCATTCATTCATTCATTCATTCATTCATTCATTCATTCATTCATTCATTCATTCATTCATTCATTCATTCATTCATTCATTCATTCATTCATTCATTCATTCATCCATTCATTCATTCATTCATCCATTCATTCATTCATTCATTTATTCATTCATTCATTCATTCATTCATCCATTCATTCATTTATTCATTCATTCATTCATTCATTCATTCATTCATTCATCCATTCATACACTCAGGGGTTCGTAATATTAATAACTTCCACGGACTTGATTGATTGCACATTATATGAGAGACATTTGGCACAGCATCGTCAATAACCGAGGCAGCATTTGATAGGCTGGAGCTCTCAAATTGAATATTTTCATCTCGATTGTATGTTTCATTCGTTGAAGTTAATGAGAATCTCGTCCTGACATTTGATGATTTTTCATACAATAACATTTATTCGAAATATTTTCTTGTTTATAAAATATGTAAATATTTCAGAAATTCAATAAAAATATTTTATTGACTATAACACATCACCGAACAACGCAGATATATAAAAGTTTAATTTTCCATTTAACGTTTGAAACTAAAGATCGGAGAAAGCTACAAAGGAGGACTTGTTTGTCGTCAGATCGGTGGCGCGATAGAACATGGCAGGCTGAAATGATGAATATCAACGTATGTGCATTTTAAAAACGCGACATCTATCTACTGGAACACCAGCTTCAAGCATCAGTATCAGTGGTAGATTTAAAGGAACCTTGTGTCAGGGTTTCCTTGTTATCAGCAGTTCAACAACTATGTTTGTTTCAATTGCTTCAAAATTCAGCCAACGTATATTGTTTAATTACCTCCTGTACATTAAAATACTGTTTTAAATGTTTATAAATGTTCACATATTTTGCATGCAGTACGTTCCTCAATTTTGTTATATATCTTCTGGTTTTCGTATCTCGTGTAGGTTCCATTCTTATTTTTATTCATCAAATGTTCATATTTTCCTACTTCATGAATAAGTCTACTGTATCTTCCATTGATTGTCTATTTATCTTTTCTAGAACAAAGCCTGGCAATCCAGCTGCAATTAGATCCACTAGAGTACCTGTATCTATTGATGTTCTCATGTCCAGTAAAAGTTTTTCTTTTTTTATAGCATAATCCACCAATGAACCATCCTTGTACTTAAATAACAACGCATAAGTCACTTGGTTCCAGCCTTGATTTGCAAATGATTCACAGAATTTATTTTTCCATATAGACCACTCTGAGTTTAGTGTTAATTTTATAATCATAGAACTATACCAATCAGCGCAACTTTTGTCCATGAATAGTCTGAGTATCTCAATTTTTTTCTCATCTTCCGTAATATCGAAACGTAAACATTCTTTTTCAAAAACATCAATCCACTGGCTTGGGTTAGTATTTTTACTTGTAAATCTTTCAATTATAAACTTTTCTGCAATATATTTCAGGTTCTGTTTTTTTAAACCTTGTGAGCTTTCAATAAATTTTGTAAATAATTTTTCCAATGAATCTGTATTTTTTCCTAAATTACCAGATGCTTGCTTTTGTTCAATTTCTTCGAGATATTGATCTCCAAATTGTAGATTACCATCTTCATCTATGTACACGTTACTTAGTTCATTTGTCATAGTAATCCAAATTTTTCTCGTCTGATGTCTTTTTTTTAAACTATTTTTTATTTTATTGTACGCAGCTGTCTTTATCAACTCTTTATGAAGACTAGCAGACTGTAATTCTTCTGGAATAGCAAACACTTTTTCATCTCTTGTCGTTATGGAGGTTGCACAATATACATTTGACTTTCCATCACTCGCTGGCAACACTGCAAATTCAAATCGTAGCTGGTCCATTTTATAATTCATTTAGGTTTCTCAATAAACGGAAATGTCGTTTTATAAGGGTTTCGATTATAATTCAGGATTTAAACAAACAAATGTGTTGCTTCTGAAAACAAAGATTTTATTTTGTTAAATGTTAAAAAAAATCATTATTGGAGAAAAAAACTCACCTGAAAACAAAGAAACGACATTTAAAGTTTATTATTTCACAAATTATAATCAGTCACAAAATATATTTAATTAAACTTTACTTTTAGGTTTTCTTTTAACCTATCAACAAGTGTATTATCAATCGCGCAAAGCGCGACAAAATCAAAATTAAAGAAATATAGTTTCTTTACATGTTTAAAAAAGAATAATAATAAAAAAATAAAATAAAGAAATTTTGCAAAAATTCGTGTGACAACTGAAAATAGTTTGCCATTTATTAAACCTAAGTACCCTCACAAGTTCAAAAGTATATATATATATATATATATATATATATATATATATACTTTCTACCGAATTGTTGGCATTAATCGGTTTAAAGATTGTCATTTCAATTTTCCTTACTAAAATTGTCTGGAAAATATTTAATTTAATGAAAATAGAAATATTAACCAAGTTCAACATGAAAATTTAATAAAACTGTTGTTGTTAAATTCACCATGTAGATAGGCCTTATTTCGATTTTTCGCAAATCATCTTCAGTGCAGGTTTGGTTTATAAAGTTATAAAGTTTCTTAAAACAAAGCAAAGTATTTTAGCAAAGTAAATTTTTTAGTTGGTGTCGTATTCTTCATCCTTGTTGTTGTCATTTCTTTGTCCTTCATTGTTATTGAAGCTAATATTAAAATGTCGAGCCGGTAATGATGTCATCATTCTTTGTTTGATGTTTATTCGGGGTTTATTGATACCTATTAGGACAGCTTATGCAATTGAAAAGATAAACTTTTGATTAATGCCAACAATTTGGTAGAATTTCTACAATATTTTATATATACATACATGTACTTATGTATTTATACCCTATTTCCTCATAGATAATACAATCATATGTATATTTAACATGAGTACCACATGGTTTATATATATATATATATACATAAATATATATATATATATATATATATATATATATATTTCATGATTTATATATATATATATATAAATATGTGTATATATATATAAATTAGTACAGGTGAGAATTCTGTCATATATGTAGTGTAGTCACATTAATATGCATTGACGGGGTTGCGTGTCTTATGCGTGAAAGGGATATATATATATATATATATTATATATATATATATATTGTATATATGTATATATATATATTATATATATATATAGCATAGGGACATGCAGACGGTCATATAAATAGATAGCTCCGGACGAAAATTCTCACTGGAGATGTTTGTTTGTGATGCTTGCTCGCCGTTCGCTTGGTTGGTATCGTGTTTCTGTTGTATTTTGTAGGGATTTTTGTATCTGCTGTGTTGTTTTGTATACGTTGGTAATTCTGATTTTGTTTTTTGTTTGTTTGTTTGGCAGAGCTACGTATTGATTGCGAATGGAGTTTGTTTGTTTCACGTCTGTGTTATACTATAGTGAAGGTACTAATAACGTTTCCTCGCCTACATGGCTGTTATAACAGTTTTATTTTTGTTTTTAGGATGTTTCTAGAGATTTAGTTTTTGTATGTTATACTGTTGGATGTTGTTTTTTTTTCTCGGATGCTGTTTGAGTCTTAAAGTTGTTTTTATTGTGTTAATGTGTTTAAATGTTTTGCCTGGGTAGCTTATTTTTGACGTTTTTAAAATGTTTGACGTTCTAGCCGATATTGACAATGTTTTTGTTGTTGAGAGCGTTGTGCGTGTGTCTAACTTGTTAAATATAGTGCTAGTCCGTTACTCAAATTTTGTGGAAAAATTGAAAATTGAAAATTCTTTAATTTTTAAATAATTTAATAATCAAATTTATAATTAACTTAAATAATTAAAACGTTTTTTGATATTTGTGAAATTTTATTTATTTAAATAACTTGGGTAAAATTTAATTCAAGTGTTAAATTAATCAGTAAAAATAAGTTAAAATAGAAATTTTTTTGGCAGAGCTACGTACTGATTTTTCACATTCTGCTGATAAGTTCTTCATTCACTCATTCACTCACTCACTCATTCACTCACTCATTCACTCACTCACTCATTCACTCACTCACTCATCAACATTGTTTGCCCGGAGCAACTTTTTATAAATAATATCTGAAAATGTTCGCTCGTCACATCATATTTTAAAATTAAATTTTCATTATATAGAGTTGGTTATCTGACGTTTGTACTAATTCTTCCTTGTAATAAATTACGAATGACGTTACAACAAATAAAAAATAGATAAATAACGTAATTGGTTGGTTGATACAGCTGTTTATATCTTATAATTACAATAAAAACAACATAAATAAACAGTCTGTCATCTGAGTGAATGGTTAATAACATTAAAACAGTAAAAAATCAGACTTAGGACAAATCGTTAAGTTGAACATTTTTAAAAGATAAAATTGTAAACGAAACTATAAAATAATTAATCTATAACTAAAACGTTTTAGTAAATAATTATTTTTAATTTGATTAAGTTTTGTCTTTTGATGCTTAATGACAAATTGAATTCCTGTTGATTTCGATGAACTTATCACAACAAACCTGGTGGAGTGAGATGTTTCTTTAGGGCTCACTGGACTGCAGCAACAAAACTCATCTTGAATCTTTTCTACAAGGTTTTTTTAGTTTTAAAATGTCTTTCAAATTATTTTTGGTTTCAATTTTGAAAAATTATTAATAAAAATTTCAAACTTATATTTTATATTACGTTTTTCGCAATTTCTTTTAATCAGCAGAAATGTATCACAATTTAATTGCGTGTATTGTTTAAAAAAGTAGACAGTAAAATAAAAAAAACTTTGGCACGCTTCTTACCAATCACTGATTTACGATACTTGTGTAATACAATTTGTCTATTCTTTACTAGCTTATTTTACTTAATTTTCTTACTTCGAATTCTGTAAAAGTAGATTTGTTATAAAGAAAATTCTGAAAATAACTTCAAAGTGAAAACTTTTAAGAATTGATTTTTAATTGCATTTTTATACTTTTATTCCAGGAAACATAAATGGCAGAGTTGTATGTTCATTTTTTTCCATTTGTATTATTTGGTAGATTATTCAAAATGATTATTTAACATATTCTTAGTAAGAAAACAAGAAAAATCAAAGTTGTAACATTTTGAATAATTCAGGAATCACAAAATTTAAAAAAATTACTGTGAAGTTACTCCTTCCATAAATTGAACAACCATGTAAATAATCAGCAGCCACAAATGTCATAAATGCAACCATGGCCAGACTTGTCCATACTACCAATTGCATCTATAAGATGCTATAAGAACTGTTGATCTTACGTCAACAAAAATTAATGTCATAATGGCTGTTGTTGTTGCTATTATTATTATTTTTATCATTGTTACTATTGTTTGGGTTATTTGTTTTATCATTATTTTTTATTATCATTTTGTAACTTTCATCCTTCGTCATTCAACATTTTTTATTTTTCTAATATTTAAATCAATATTCTTAATTATCATGAAAATCGTCTGAATTCTCCACTTTTTTTTCTTTCATCAATTTGATAAATTTTTTGTTGATTTTTTTTTATATTTTTGTTTTGTTATTCTTATTATACTTTAAAATGTTTCCCTTAAACAAAAATCACAGTTATTGTTGTAAATTATTCCAATTCAATTTACTAGAATTGAAAAATTTTTTTCAATCCATTTATTTAAAAAGTCGAAATAAATTTTAAATCTCTAAAACAAAAAAGATGCGAAATAATAAAATAAATTAATAATTTCTTGCAGAAAAAAGCAGCTTGTTTGTTATTATTGAATCAATAACTGAAACAACATTGAAATGAACAACATGTGTCGTAGACAACAACCTTATGTAATGTTGCCCCTACCACTGCTACCACTTCTACTACTTCTACTACTACTACTACTACTACTACTACTACTACTACTACAACTACTACTACTACTACAACAACTACTACAACTACTACTACAACAACTACTACTTCTTCTACTACCAACACTACTGCTACTATTTTTACTACTATTACTATTACTACTACTACTCATACTTTTCT